GAATTTTGGTATGGAAACAGCATAATATATGTAAAAAAAGGAGATTATTTGTTGGCTCACCAAGAAACCACGGGCAACAACACGTGATTCTAGAGAGATACCGATGCCGAGCATGAGGGCGGTGCCAGCAAGGGGTGATGAACGAGGAAGTCGAGGCAAGTGAAGTAAACTGGCTAAAGGGTTATTGACATCCTTGTTATTGGTTGTCTCGGCGGGATACATAAGACTATCATGGCGGCGCAAATCAGCAGATGAGATGAGGATGAAAGCTGAGTATAGCAATTAAAGGAGAATCAAAACCAAAAAGTCTTAATCTAAAATATGAAGACCAAGATCATGTGGCCCCCGGTATTGTCGCAGTCTCCTTTAGATTTTTAAAAGTGGGTTGACCTCGTTGTCTAAACTTGGTCTTGTTGCTAAGTCGCCCTGACAAGACCAAGTTGCGACGAGCTCAACCCACTCCTAAAGATTATTAATTTCGAAAACCTACTCAAGATGAGAAATAATTAGCGTTGTCCTTTGCTATAGCAAATATAAGTTAGCCCCATCGACAATCTCACCACAGAATGTGATTAAAAAATGCCTGGCCTTCTTTGAAATTCACATCTGCCCTGTGACCTAAAAGCAATCGTGGCAATGTGGCGTAGTGGTTCTGTGTAGAGATTACACACTTCCCTGTCATGATTCGAATCTCGCTGGGGTTGTTTATAAGACCTATGCAAGGTCGAAACTGAAGTCCATCCTGGATGAGTGTCATCTCAGCTTCCATGATCATAAGTAAAAATCATTCATCTATATTGTAGAGTTCATCTGTATTAGAATTGAGGTATCTAAAATTCCAGTCGATCTTGAATAAGAGCGATATTCACCAAAGTAAATTAAGATAAAGGAAGTTAAATTTACCCAGAATGATACTAGTAAGTCTCATGATGCCGAAGAAATTGGCTTATTATTAGATCGGAGATATGAAGACCAAGATGGTGCGATCTATTTGGTCGCAGTCTCCTTTAGCTGTATAATGTTGGTTTGACCTAGTTATCGCAATTTGATCAGAGCAACAGGAAAAGATTGTGGAACGTACCTAATCCTGAATCATCTTTAATAGTATTCGTGATTTCCAGTATAGGACCATTAAGTTGGTACAGATCCAGACGTATCGCCGCCCTCGTCAGTGAGAGGCATCATCGCTAGGACAGTTACAGCTTATCGAAGTGAAAAGTGAAGACAATCTCCCTGACCAATTCGCTGCTCAACCATTATGGCATCACTCTTCAATCCTAGCATTTGTCTTACCTCTTTCTGAACCCTAATTCATGTCGTTCATTTACATATTCACACCATTCTGTGCTCTCATTCCCTCAAATGCTGTCTAAGTGTCACTACAAGTGAATTTAGTGAAGCGCAATAACCTTCACCACCGGATTCAGATGCTGTTTGCAGGGCCTCTGGGTCATTGCTTCTTACTTTCATTTAGATAGCTCTTACCATCGCGCTTATCAATTGGTTCCTAGTAAACTCAAAAATCACTATATGACTGTCTGAATGTGACTGCTTATGAGCCTTCGATTCCGGTCTCCGTTTACTTCATATTCGAGAATTTAGGTTGAGTGATTCTTATGCCTAGGCATCTTTCTTGACATTAAGCTTCAGACCCATCACCCAGTTATCGTCTTTCTCATCCCCACCCCCATTGTCTCTCATTCTCTAGGACCCTGTATCTGGTATGATTAGGGAACCACTGACGTGAATATGAATTGTTTCCCTTGTCCACTCCGTTATAGCGTAAAGCACAGTCCTCTTAGATGACAATCAAGATGGTGTGGCCTTCCGTTTAGCCTCAATCAACTTTAGTTTTATAGTGTTGATTCGACCTTGTTTGCCCAACTTGGTCGGAGCGTCAGAGACCTTGTGAAACGTACCTAGTCCCGTGTCCTCTGACATATTATTCATGACCATTGGCTGGGTACATTCTCAAACGTTCCGCCGGCATCGTCAATGAGAGGCGCCATCATAAACAGTTACAACTTATCGCTTTGATAAGTTGGCACCTCTAATTGACGATGCCGGCAAAACGTTTGGGAACGTACCCAGCGAATGGTCAATGCTGGAAATCACGAATATTATGGCAGAGGACACGAGACTAGGTACGTTCCACAAAGTCTCTCTGACGCTCCGACCAAGTTGCGAAAACAAGGTCGAACCAAAATCACAGTCCTCTTGTGTATCAAGTTGACAATTCCATCTGATGCTAAAGTTCTAGTCGGTTGTTCAGGTGGGTTTGGTTATCTAGTCTAGTCATTCATGCCACCAGTAAGCTATCAAATTCATGAAAAATGCACACACGCACGAGTATACACACGCATACTGGAGAATGACTGGAATTGTGCACACTATATCGGTATCGACACTAAGTTGAGCTTGTAGGGATCCATATTTTCTCCCTGATCTCTCGTATTCAGCTGTTCTCTCCATATAAGGCCAATCTTTTCGTTGTCCTCAACTCAATTGAGTGGTCGGTAAGAGCGAAATGTTCAGCTAGCTCCAATCTTTCGTTATCCATTTTTCTGAATAGTCTCTTGTGTTCATTGATCCTTGTGCTGAATGACCTTTAAGCCTCTCCGATGCACCTTTGTTTATATTCCTTATAATACATGCTGAAAATACCGGAGCACTCCATCTTGTTGACTTTTTCATGTTCTGTGGGCAAGTTGATGAAGAGCGTTGTTCTTTCCTTTAGGATTGTACGAATATTCTATTTCAATAATATCAGCCGCAGCTTCCGAGCCAGGTTGCAGGAAAGTAGATATTTTCATCGTAATTTATCTGTTTCCTTTGCTTTCTTTCAATGATCTCAGTACTTCCATATGCTTAGCAGAACCCGTATGTTGTGCTGTATTTCTTCTTCTGGATATTCGTTTTCTATAAAGATCTAAGTTAATTTTTCCAGGTCCTCAATGACGATTTCGACAACAATGCCGAGAATTCGTTTGAGA